AGCTGTGTTCCCTTACGCCCCCAGTAATCCCCGCGCCCTCGTCGTGGCTGCCTCTCGGCGCCTGAAGCGCTCCTCCCTCTCTCGCTATCCCCTCTCTGCCGGTCGTCGGTCTCTTGTATCTGCTCGCCTTCTTCCTTCTCTTTCTTCCCTCATATCTCTCCGGCCTCTCTCTCCATCCCGCCCCGCTCTCTCTCCCCTGATTGCTCCCTCCCTCTCGTCTCGCTCTCACCCTCTTCTGATCTCTTTCTCTTCTTTCCCTTTTCCGGTTCCCCATCATCTCCCCTATTCTGCTTCCCCCCCTCTTTCCTACCCCTCTCTTCTCTTTGGTGAGTCTCTCTTCCTCTTCCCTCGGGCTGCCGCGCGGCGCCAGTCTCCCCTTGTCTCCCTCCTCTCCGGGTATCCGAAGGCCTCAGCCGGCTGCGGCACCCCGCGGCGCCGCCACGCGGCCCGGCACCGCGCAGCGCCCGGCCGGCACGCAACACAATTACCCGATGTTGCCAGAGCTGCGCATGTTGCCACAGGGCGCGAGCCGCCCTGGATGTGAACACACCCAAGAACGTGTGCATCAGCGCTAAGAGAGGCCAGCCTGCCAACCCCTCTAATTAGGGGGTGTGGCATCATCATATCACTTGCGGCGGGGGCTGCCCGGCGGCTGCCGGCCTGCCCCGCCCCGGCGCGGGAATTTTAATCTGCCAAAACCGTCTCTTTCCCGGCCACCAATTTTCCCGCGCCGTAGAATAATTCGCTACGACCGTGCGCTGCGTAATTTCTCTACCCTCCCCCCTTCCCCTCTCTCCTTCTCTTTGCTGCTTCCTTCTTCCACTTCTTCCCCCCTAGTCTCTCTGCCGCCGCCCGCCTTCTCTCCTGCATCCTCTCTCTCTGTCAGTCTTTCTCACTCGCACCTCTCTCTCTCTCTTCTCATCTTCTCTTCTCTCGCTCTCTCTCTCTACTCGCTTCTCTCTCCTCCTTCCTCTCTCTCTCTCCCATGGGACTCTTCTAAATACTGCATTACACCGTATATATACCTAATATAATAATATTATCTCTCTCTCTCTCTCTCTCTCTCTCTTCTCATCTCTCTCTACTGCTCTCTTTCTCTCTCTCTCTCTCTCTCTTCTCTCTCTCTCTTGATGGTCTTTTAGGTCGCACTACCGTATTTCATTTAGTTAGCGTGCGGTCAGAGAGAGAGAGAGAGAGAAGAGAAGATGGAGAGATGAGAAGACGATGAGACGGATGATGATGATGAGAGAGAGTAGAGGAGAGAGAGAAAGAGAGAGAGAGAAATAGAGAACCGTGAAGAGGGAGGGGAAGGAAGAGGAACGAGAGAGAAATGAGAGAGAGCGAGAGGAGAGAGAGGGGCGGGAGGAGGAAGAGAGAGACAGCTCGATTGATGGGAGAGAGACAAATGAGGCAGAGAGGTAGAGAGGAGATGAGAGGGAGGAGAGAAACGCTGAGAAGAGAGAGAGAGATGAGAGAGATGGTAAGCGACAAGGGCTTCAGGAAGTTAGTGGTGCAGTTGTGTAGGGGCTGTGTTGTGGTTTAGATTGGGTCTTGCTAGTAGTAGCCAGGGCTTGTTGTCAGGCGCGTAGAAACCCCCATTCGGCGGGAGGGGGGCGGGTCAGGGGTCACGGTGGGGTCACACAGCCTCTCAGCGTGCAGTCCACGGTGCTGTGGCGTCGCCACCGTGGGCGTTTTACACCGGCCGCGAGCGCCTGCCTCCGTCACGCTGCTTCCGATCACGCGTGGGGTCGCTGCGAGTGGTGTGGGGTGGCGGGGGTACACGCGCCAGGGGGTGGGGTTGAGGGTTGGAAGTTAACACGTGCGGCAGCCAGCCCACCAGAACCGAGGATTGTCGCTGCGCGCGCTGGCATGAAAGAGGCGCGAGAGAAGATGAGGGAGGAAAGAGAATAGGGCAGATTAAGATGATGAGGAAGGCGAGATGAGCGAAAAGAGCCGAGGCGCAGACACACCACCCACTATTCTTTGTTAGTTCCCACCGCCCACCCCGGTGGATCTGACCGACGGTAGGTGCGCTCGCGTCGCGTCCTGGTGACGTCACGGTCCGTTGCAGCTCGCCCTGCGTTAGGACAAAGGAGGAGGCCGGGGAGAGAGAGGCGGGGACAGGAGGATTTTTTTCCTCGCGACCGCAGTAAAGGGTTATTAGCGGTTGATTCGATTTAATATCGCCACGCAATAAAACGTGACGCTCGGCTCGAACTTATAATGGAGGTTGGTCGGGCCATCGGTAGTTGCGCGATGGTGGCGTGGCCAGTGTTAGTGCGCACTTTGTGTGGTGGCCATTGATAGTGGCGTTGTGGTGGTGGCCATGGTAGTGGCCGCATGGTGGCGGTGGCCGGTGGTAGTGGCGATGGTGGCGGTGGCCATGGTAGCTGGGTGTCGGCTCGTGGCCTAGTGCGTTAAGCTCGGCGATGGTGGCGCTGTGGGGTGGTAGTGGCTTATTGTGGTGGGTGGCATGGTAGTAGTGGCGATCTGTGCGGTGCGCTGTGGTAGTGGCGTTGGGGCGGTTGGCCGCTGGAGTGGCCGCTTGTTGGCGGTGGCCATGGTAGTGGCGTTGTGGCGGTGGCTGTTGGTAGTTGGCAATGGTGGCGGTGGCGTAGGCTAGTTGGCGGATTCGTGGCGGTGGCTGTGGTATGTGGCGCTTGTGGCGGTGGCTGTGGTCAGTGGCGATGGTGGCGGTGGCCGGGTGTGGCCGATTTTGCGGTTGGCTGGTAGGGCGCGATTGTGGCGGTGGCTGTTGTGGGTAGTGGCGATGTGGGGCAGTGTCTTGTGGTAGGGCGATTGTATGGCCGGGCTGGCCTGCTGGTAGTGGCCTGTGGTCGTGGCATGTGGTAGTGACGTGGGCGATTCGGTGGCCGGTGGCCGTAGGTTAGTTGGCCGATTGTGGCCGGTGGCTGTCGTTATGTGGCCGGCGCTTGTGGCATGGTGGCCTGTGGTAGTGGCTCGATGGTGGCGGTGCCGTGGTAGTGCGATAGGTGGCTGGCTGATGGGCTAGTATGGCAGATGGGTGGCGGCAAAGTCTGTGTAGTGGCGATTCGGTGGCGGTGGCCGTGAGTAGTGGCGATGGTGGCCGGTGGCCGTGGTAGTGGCGTGTGGCGGTGAGCGTGTAGTTGGCGATGGTGGCGGTGGCTGCTGGTTAGTTGGCGATGGTTGAGCGGTGGCCGTGGTAGTTGGCGATGGTCGGCGGTGCGCGTCGGTAGTGGGATTGTGGGTGGTGGCCATGCGTAGTGGCGATGAGTGGTGCGTGGCCGTTGGTGTGGCCGCATTGGCGGTGGCCGTGGTAGTGGCGGATGGTGGCGGGGCCGTGGTCTTAGTGGCGGATGTGGCAGGTGCGGCGCCCCGACGCGGGTGGCCGTGTTTAGTGGCGAATGGTGGCGGTGGCCGTGATAGTGGACGATGGTTGAGTGTGCGTTCGGGGTAGTGGCGATCGGTGCGGGTGGCCGTCGGTGTGGGATTGTGATCGGTGGCTGTTGGTAGTGGCCATTGTTGCGCGTGGCTGTGGTAGTGGCGTTCGTGGCGTGTTCTGTCGGTAGCTCGGCGCTGTGTCGGCGGGCGTGGCTGTATGGTAGTGCGCGCTGCGGCTTGTTGCGCGGTGGCTGTGGTCGAGCTTGCAGCAGATTCGGTGGCGGTGGCCCGTGGGTAGTGGCGATTGTGGCCGGTAGGCTGTGTGAGTGGCGCTTGTGGCGGCTGCTGTTGGTAGGGGCCGATCGGTGGCGGTGGCCTGCGGGTAGTGGCAGTGGTGGCGGTGGCTGTGGCGGTAGTGGCGATTTGGTTGGCGCGTGGCTCTGTGGTAGTGGCGATGGTGGCGGTGGGCCGTGGTAGTGCGATCGGTGGCGGTGCCGTGGTAGTGGCGTGTGGAAACGGTGGCCGTCGGTAGTGTGCCGCGATGGTGGCGGGGTGGCTAGTTGGTTAGTGGCAGATTCGGTGCGCGGTTGGCGTGGTCAGTGGCGATGGGTGGCGGTGGCGTCGTAGTGGCGATTTGTGGTGGTTGGCCATGAGTAGTGGCGATTGGTGGTCTGCGCCGTGGTAGTGGCAGATTGGTGCGGTGTGCGTGGTAGTGGCCGATCGGTGGCGGTGGCCGTGTTATGTGCGATGGTGGGGTGGCGTAGGTTTTGTGGCGATGGTGTAGGCGGTTTGGCTGTGATAGTGACGATGGTGGCAGTGGCCGTGGTGATAGTTGTGCGATAGGTGCGGTGGCGTGATAAGTGACGATGGTGGGCGCGCGTGGGCTGTCGGTAGTGGTGATATTAGCAAGAAATCAGCAGCCGCAGTATCGGTGTCTGCAATGGGTGGCACAGTGGCCAAGCAGCGGTGACTGTAGGTTCAGTGACGCTACGTCGCATGGGTGACGGTGTGGTGAGCTGACGCTAGGCATCAGCAAGCGGTGTATGGTGGTAGTGACGCTAGCGTCAGCAGCAGTGCGGTGGGTAGTTGATTGGTAACTGCCGCAGAGGCTGCGGTGTGTGACGTAGCTGCCAGCAGCGGATGACGGTCGGTAGTGACGCGCTAGCTGCAGCAGCGGTGCGCGGGGTAATGACGCTAGCTGCGCAGCGGTGCCGGTGGTAGTGCAGAGAGAGGAGAGCGGGAGAGCAGAGAGAGCGAGGGCTGGGTAGAGAGAGAGAGAGAGAGGAAGAGAGAGAGAGAGAAGAGAGATGAGCTGAGAGAGAGAGAGAGAGAGACGAGGAGAGGGAGACGCGAGAGATGAGATAGAGAGATGGTTGAGAAAGCGGAGAGAAGGAGAGCGAGAGAGATGAGAGATTAGATGAGAGTAGAGAGAGGGATGAGAAAGAGAGCGAGGGCCGACAGAAAAAACACCGCACGCCTACATAGCGATTAGGCAGCGTGTAACCGCTCCTCCCTTCCTCCGCCCTTCCTCCTCTCCTCTCTCCTCCTCCTCCTCCTCCTTCTCTCCTTCTCTCGCGTGCGTCTCTCTGTCTCTTTAGCAAATGCATCCTTAACCTGCGTAATTTTTCTTATTTCCAGCGAAAATGCTCGCCGCTGTTTCCCGGTCGGGCTGTGGGCTAGCGAACGGGTTATCGTCATTGCTCCGATATTCTAGTCCATAGGAAAAATTGGGGGGCTGGTGTATCTCTACTGTGGGAGCTCGCGCTTACATCGCTAAAAAAGCTATGCGGATGAAGGATATGTACTTTAGACTGCGGGGGGCAGCATGTATTTGAAGGCATGGCTCAATCGTCGTTGAAGGGAGCGAGTAGGTTTAGAGGAGAGAAGCGAGAGGCGAGAGAGAGGGGGCGGGAGAGAGAGGAGAGCGAGCGAGGGAGAGAGAAGAGAGGAGAGCCGGGAGATTGAAGAGAGAGAGGAGGAGACGAGAGATGGGGAGAGAGGAGGAGGAGGGGAGGAGACGGGAGAGGGAGAGCGATGGCAGAGGGGGAAGAGAGAGGGGTAGAGAGAGAGAGAGGAGATGTGAGAGGAGAGAGAGAGGAGAGGATGAGATGGAGTAGAAGAGAGAGAGAGAGGAGAGCGTGCACGGAGAGATGAGGGGAGGATGGAATTGGAGAGAGAATGAGAAGATAGAGAGACGCGAAGGTGCAATCTGTGTGATTAGACTTTTTTTGTGAATGATGAGTTTCTGTGCCTTGCTGCCTCTGCTGCTACTGCTGCTGCTGCTGACCTACTTACTGCGACTATTACTAACTGATTTCCGCTTGCCTACTGCTTACTGCTTGCTGCTGCTGCTACTTTGCTGCTCCACTATACTATCTGCTGTTGCAGGCTGCTACTACTACTCCTGCGCCTGCTTTTTGGGCTTTTATTGCTGCTGCTGCCTTGTACTGCTGGTGCTGCTGCCTGCCTACTACTGTGCTGTGCCTGCTGCCTGGCTGCTGGCTGTGGCGGTTTACTGCTGCTTGCTCAATGTACTGTGATTACCGCACTTTATATTACGATCACGGGCTTGCGCTGCCGCGCGCTGGCCGCCTGCGCTGACGCCGCCGCTTGGCTCTGTAGTTACGGCCAGTAATACCCCGTCTTACTACTGCCGCTGCTCATGCTCGGCATCTGCAGCGGGGAGGCCCGCCCGGAGCTGCCAGCGAGAGGAGGCGCGGGGGTCGGAGGCAAGGGTTAAGTGATCGGAGGTGGTGGTATTACGTGTGCCGGCGTGCAGCGCGTGGTTTGAGCGCCAGTAATCGGCACTCACCGACCCAGCCAAGGCGCGGGCGCTGCACTGCAGCGGTGCTTGCTAGGGGGCGTTGCGTTTATTACGCCGGCGCGGTGTTCGCAACCGCCTGTTTGTCGCCGGGTCTCGGCGGAGGGCAGAGGGGGGGGGCTTGAACCCAGGGGTGCAGCGCGTCTGCTCGCGCCGAACTTTCGTATCTACTGGGATTCGACTGCTATGAATACTAGCGCCACTTCCTCGACACGCTCAGTATGTCTCTATATGGTGCAGGTGATCCTGTCTCAACGACCCCTGTCTCAGTGATTCAGTCTCTGTGATCCCTGTCTTCAATTGATTCTGTCTCAATGACCCCCATATCAGTGACTCGGTGTCCGCGTCCCTTGTCTCAACAACCTCCGTCTCAATGACCTGTCTTAATGAACCCCGCTCAATTGCCCCATCTCAATGACCCATGTCTCAGTGACTCGGTCTCTGTTACCCCTGTATCAATTACCCCTGTCTCAATCATCCCTGTCTCAACAACTTCCGTATGCAATTACGCTCGTCTCAACAATCCCTGTTCTCACACCCCTTGTATCAATTACCTGTCTAACTCCCTGTCTCAACGACCCCTGTATCAGTTACTCTGTCTCAACATCCCTGTCTCAACAACTCCTGCTATCAATTACCCCATGTCTCAACACATCCTGTCTTCAACCCCTGTATTCCATTAGCCCTGTCTCCACATCACCTGTCTCAACGCACCCCTGTTATGCATTACCCCTGTGCTCAACTCCCTGTCTCACAACCTGTTTGCATTACTCTGTAACTCAACATCCCTGTCTCGAACAACCCCTGTATCAGATTACCCTGTCTCAACATCCCTGCCTCAAACGGCGGCGTGGTGGTGAGGATTACCTCTGTCTCAATCCCCTGTTCACAACCTGTATACAATTGACTCGTGTCTCAACATCCTGTAACAACCCCCTGTCATCAATTACTCGGTGCTCGAACATCCCTGTCTCAAACCCCTTGTATCAATTATCTCGGTTGTCTCACATCGTCTGTCTCAACAACCTCCTGTATCATTACCGGCTCGGTCTCAACTCCCTGTCTTAACAACCCTGTATCAATACCCTGATACTCACATCCCTGTGTTCAAGACCGTGTATCAATTACCCCTTGTCTCACCATCCCTGTCTCAACAACCCCTGTTCAATTACCTCTGTCTCAACATCCCTGCCTCAACAACCCTGTATCAAATCCCTGTGAGTGTCTCAACAATCCCCTGATAATTCCCTGTCTCAACGACACCCTGTATCAATTACTTCTGCCTCAACATCCTGTTCTCAACACCTGTATCATTACCCTCTGTTGGTCAACAACCTGTTCACAACCCTGGATCAATTACCCTGTCTCAACATCCCTGTTCTCAAGACCCCTGCTATCATTACTTCTGTCTCAACATCCCTGTCTCAACAACCCTGTATACACTTACTCTGCTCTCAACAAGCCCTGTATCAATATACCTCTGTATCAACATCCCTGTCTCAACAACCTCGGTATCAATTACCTCTGTCGATCACATCCTTGTTCTCAACATCCCTGTCTCACACCCTGTTCTAATTACTATCTGTTCAACAACTCTGTCTCAACACCTCTGTCTTTCCCTGTATCAATTACCTTGTATCATTACCTCTGTCTATCATCCCTGTCTCAAACAACCTGTCTCATATGACCCCACGGCAGTTCTCTCGCGAGTGTTCTCATCTGTCGCTCCAGATCAATAATGCGGTCGTCGCGCAACATCGGAATCGATTTATTATTCTGTTGTCGTCGGTCGTCGTGGTCTTCGTTCGCGTCGTCATCGTTTCGTCGTCGCTACGAGCGCGAGGAGTGAGAAAGAAATTTGCGATGTTGATGCATGATAATAGGTGTGGAGCGGCTTCAGCTTGCTGTGCTGTAGTAATGCTCTAGCTTCCGCATTCGCGCGTCCACACTGTGGTGTGTCCGGTCATTGTTCCCTATGTGCGACACGGCTGTTCCGTGCCATCTGTCGGGTCTGTCTATCATCAGCCATCTGTCATTCATCCACCCGTTCGTCCATCCTGCATCTATTTATTCGTCTGGTCCTCGCTGTCCGGTCCATCCGATCATTCTATCATCGGTCCATCAGTCCATTCATCTGTCCGTTGTCCATCCTTGCATCCATTCTTCATCCGTACATTTCATCTGTCCGTCTGTCCATCTCTGCATCCATTCATCCATCCGTCCATCCGTCTGTCCATCTCTGCATCCATTCATCCATCCGTCCATCCGTCTGTCCATCTCTGCATCCATTCATTCATCCGTCCATCCGTCTGTCCATCTCTGCATCTATTCATTCATTCGTCCATCCGTCTGTCCATTCCTGCATCCATTCATTCATCCGTTCGTCCGTCTGTCCATCCCTGCATCCATTCTTCCGTCCGTCCGTCCGTCTGTCCATCCATGCGTCCGTCGATCGCAGCATCCCTCCGCGCTCATCCTCATCCTCGCTCAGCAGCTGACAAATAAGATCTGATCAGATCTGATAATTGCGTGCGATCACTCGAGGGTCGGGCACTCATTAACCACACCTGCTCACCGCCCCCAGCGTCGGCAAGAGGTGAGGGAGGGGCCTCCCGTGGGAGGAGGTAAGGAGGGAGGGAGAGGGGAGGGAGGAAGGAGGGAGGGTGGGAGGCAGAGAGGGAGAGAGATTTACGAATCTCTATGTAGTGTGAGGGAGAGAGTCGGGAGAAGTGAGGAAAGGGTTCCCGTGGAAGACGGGGGGGGGGTGTAAGTGAGAGGGTGGGGAAAGGGTTGCCTCGCTGAATATTAATTGATGTATCACCTCAACGTCGTGTCACCCCACCGTGTCGCGATATTGAAGTTTGACACGCGTACGTGTGAAGGTTGGAGGTACGTTACGTAGGAAGAGAGTGGGGCATGCGGCGCTAGAGGAAGAGGAGGCGGAGGAGGAGGGGAAGGAGGAGGACGACGACGACCACGAAGTACGGATTTATTCGGCGCGAGAAAATCGGCGTATTAGAAAAATTGCGGAAGATTATTGCGTTGACATCGAATTTTCGGAGTCATCATCGCCGTAAAATCGCTGGGAAAATGCCGCCGTGTCGTCGCACCGCCGCCGCCGCACCGCCTCTTCTCATGACGCATTTCCCCTGAAATTTGTCAATTACCCCACGTCTAAAGTACCTGCCTATCGACCAGCGGTGGCGGAGGGAGGGGAGGCTGGGAGGGAGGGAGGGAGGGAGGGATGGAGGCAGGCAGGCAAGCAGGCAGGCAGGCTGACATGCATGCAGGCAAGCAGGCAAACATGCTGGCAGGCAGGCAAGGAGGGAGGCAGGCAGGCTGGTACGGTCGGCTCTAATTGTCCGTATCTTTTCCGTTTGGCGAAATTCAATCAAAATCGGCAGAAATTTCATTCGGTCTCGTTATACGTGCGACAGCGGCGGCGGCGGCGGCGGTGACAGCGGTAGCGGCGGTGGCAACGGCGGTAGCGGCGGTGGCAGCGACGACGACGGCGGTAGCGGCAGGGTCATCTACGGTCTCACTACCGCCGCCGTCGCCGCCACGTGTACAACGTCATCATCATAATCATCCTCATTACCGTTGTCTTCATCATCATTATCATCACATTCATCGTCGTCGTCGTCGTCGTCGTCGTCGTCGTCGTCGTTATTCATTATCATCGTCGTCATCGTCATCATCATCGTCACCATCGTCACCATCGTCATCATAATCATCATCATCACCATCGTTGTCGTCATCGTCGTCGTCGTCGTCGTCGTCGTCGTCGTCGTCGTCGTCGTCCGCAGGCCGGGGACTAGTGAGCAGCAAAAAGCTGGCGGCTGTGTTTTTTACCGTCTGCGTGAGTGTTTCAACGAACGCTATTTTCACTGCGTTTAATTAAGGTACGCAATGCGCGTCGCACCTGTGTGTTACAACAATGCACGCGCGCCGCCCCTCCTTCTCCTCACCCTCCTCCTTCTTCTCCTTCCACATTGTCCTTGTCCTACTCCTTCTCCTTCTCCTTCTCCTTCTCCTTCTCACCCCTCCTCCTTGTAATTCTTTTTCTCCTTAAAATTTCTCAGCTCCCTCCTGGTCCTTCTCCTTGCCCTCCTCTTCCTTGTCTTCCTCCTCCTGCTCCTTCTTCCCTCCTTCGTTTTTTTGGGGGGGGGGTGAAGGGAAAGGGTTTATTGGGGGAAGGGGTTGTGAAGGGAAAGGTTTTTTTTGGGGGGGAGGGTGTTGTGCAAACATGAATAAACAAACAAATATTGGGCA